CCCCAAAACCCCAAAACCCCAAAACCCCAAAACCCCAACAGATATAATTTAGAGTTTGCAAACAGAATTTGTTAATTAATAAATTATTAAGATTGACACTATTTATAAGGTACTTATTTCAATCAAGAGAGAAGTATTTAGCTAATTTGATATCTCTATAATGCATAATCAGGCTTTGATCTATGAATTCTTTTCTAGAAGTTTTGTTTCTGTAGCAGATAATGATTCACTATACTTTTTAAGTATTTCCTTAATGTTTTGAGTGAGATACATTGTTGGGTTCATTACACCTTTGGCCATTTGTTCAAGCATATGAAGCCTGAATAGTTTCAAGGCTTCTCTGACATCATTTACATTGCTTTCAGCTATAGATATAAGAAGTGGAGCCAACTCAAGTAAGGCTGTGTCTTGAGGATCTATGAACCAACTTTTAATAAATATCCCATTTTCAGGCTAGAGCTAGAAATTTTCAGCAATATTATCAACAATTATAGTTTTTGAGATATCTCTACCTATTCTAGAGAGGTCTTTAACATAGAATCCCCCGAAAGGTGAGGCATGCTAACGATAAAGTCTATATGAGATGCAGCTTTTATTCTGGAAGTGATCTAAAGCCCAGTCAGCATAGTCTTGCATAGCTGCTGTGAAAATAATGATTTCATAGTATTCAGACAATGATTTAAGGAAATCATCAGCCCCTGGTCTAATTCTCAAATCTCCATCATATTCATTTATTTCGTAGTAATGCAACAAAGTTTCATCCAAATCTAAGACTAGTGTGTACTTCTTATGAGATGAAGCTTTCACATATGGACAGGGTATCAATTATAAGGACTGGTCAACTTGAACTTGATGAGCAACTTCAGCTGTATATTTATTTTGATTTTACTAAGCAGCCTATTCAAGAATGCTATAGTCTTATCTTAAACTTTTCCCAATCATATCTTTACTTTGTTAAAAGCTCATTTTATCTAAGCCCTTCATGATATCTGAGGTAGCATTAAATATCTGATGTGAGTAAATTTCAACTCTATTTGGATCATTCTTTTTCTACCTTTCTTAGTTGGCTTTCATATTTATAGTTTTGATTATATTCACAAGAATGTCAACGTTTTATCTTAGGACTTTTATTCTTTCTTATTTACTTTGACGTTTTTTCAGCTTTAAATTTATTAGCTTGTTCATTCTATCAGCCCATACATTTACAGGAATGATCTCATTTGGAAATCTGTCCATAATAAACTGAATGAGCATTAAGAAATTTTAATGTGAATAGTAAGTTAAATTTCTTAACTAGGCTATTAAGAACTTTTGCTCCTCTTGAGACTAAATGTATCCTAGCAATGATACAATTATCATTTAGATTATAAGACTTTTTCTTAGATTTTTTTAGGTACTTTCATCCTTAAATATTTTCTGTATAGGAGTTATTCGATAAATTATTTACATATATTTCAAAGAGTGATGATTCTTGCCGAAGAAGTTCCCACCAATCCTCGCAAAGCTCAATGATTTTTTGTGACTCTTCTAGATAATTAGCTGATTTCAGTTTCTCATTCATAAGAAATATCCTATCTTCTATAAATAGAACATTCTCCAAATTTATCATAACTTGCTCCTTATCAGAGCATGCTGAAATTTAAGAATTCTCAGTATCGGTGCAATTAAACTCCTCTTTACTCTTTTGACTTTAACTTTCAATTTACTCTTCTTATTCCTCATTATCCTAGTCTAATTGATCCTAATCATCTATCTCAATGTGCCTAAAATCATCCTCATTCGAAAGCTGTTTGACAATTTGTGGACTATCACACTCATTACTCGAATAATCATCGATATTGTTAACTGCACTCTGGTCATCGCTTTGATCTAACATCGAGGGAATGTTATTAAGATGGCTAAAAATAGCTGAATTATCAACTTAATTTAGATGTGGATTCATCTAAGCTGGAGCTTTAGTATCTATTTTGAAGATGCCTTTACTTGAGTTTCTGATCATACTGTTTTGCTATTCAATTTTACGAAGGTTTTGTTAAATCTCATTGAAATTAAATGTACTATGATTGCTGATCTCAGAAAAGGTTGTAAAAGATATGCTTGGGAGTAAAAAACTCTCCGAATCATCCTAACATTCTTTTTTTTCAATTTACCTCATTTACAATTTTTTTGTTGAAGGTGAAAGAATTAAAGAAGATATTGAAGATGGTGCCTGTTAAAGTCGGGCACTATCCATACTTGCTTTACAGAATTAACATATCTGCTCTCTATTCTAAAACTAGATCTGCAATTGATATTAGTTCAATACTTATAGTTCTCTCTCTTTTTTACATATTGAGCACAAATAACGGATGATTTACTGTTAGCTTTTATTTGGGTTAAGGTAGGCCGATAAAACTGAGGGTCTCATGGCTTGTTTATCCAAATTATTGATATTTTAATCAAACTATTCGTCTATGCTCGAGTTTGATTAATCTGGAGGAAGGATATTCATTGGCGAACCCTATGCATTATCCTAGTATTGTCTGATGGCTTCGTTAGCATAATAGATCTAATTTTGATATTTAAATGGCTATTTTTTTCTTTTAAAATCTGTGCTCATTGGATTGCTTAAAGTGTTGGTAGTTTGAGTGCTTTCTTAGCTTTAACTTACAATCATCATGTCGTTAGCTGAGGGGTTGAGTTTATATTTTGCTCTCTCGATTTAGCTTTGCAGAATAACAAACGATTCTACTTGCTCATCCTATGTCATTTTTTCCCATCGACCCCGATAATTACTAAAAACTGTTGGATATGGTATATCCTTAGTCTAGTAAGGAGGTCTGACTAGTAGGGAATTATCCTCAGAAGAGGGAACATCCGTTATCGGATCAATAGATTAGCCTGGTTTGTTAATCTACGACAATTGGTTCTTGATTTTACTCTGGCTTTGTGACTTCATATTAGAGTTTATTGTTATTATAATCAAGGTATTTTATTTTACTGCCAAATTTAATGTATTACCCACTTTAATTTATAATAAGTACCTAGGGGTTTTGGGGTTTTGGGGTTTTGGGG